GAAAGAGAAACAGAAAGAAAGAGAAAGAGAAAGAGAAAGAGAAAGAGAAAGAGAAAGAGAAAGAAAGAAAGAAAGAAAGAAAGAAAGAAAGAAAGAAAGAAAGAAAGAGAGAAAGAAACAGAAAGAAAGAGAAAGAGAAAGAGAAAGAGAAAGAGAAAGAGAAAGAGAAAGAGAAAGAGAAAGAGAAAGAAAGAAAGAAAGAAAGAAAGAAAGAAAGAAAGAAAGAAAGAAAGAAAGAAAGAAAGAAAGAAAGATCTAGCAGGATTTCAGCTGGCCAGGAGGTGGTCTTGGGGCAGGCCTGCAACTGCCCAAGAGGAGGCTCGGTGAGTCGGAAGAAACATGTAAACAGAGGCCTTGCCAAAAACACCGAGGGTACATGAACATTAGGTGCTGGTCTGGGCAGGCTTATGTAACATTTGTTCTTGGCTGTCTTGCAGAGAATTTGCTGGCTAGAAAATTGCAGCCTTGTGCTCCCACGCACGATTAAATCTGCTGCCGGATAGGAAGTGATTCATACGGCTTTCCTAGCACTGCGCTTGATGAGTAACTCTGGTTCCTCCCCTGCCCACTTGTTCTCTCCTGGAACCTGCTCTGTCCCCAGTGAGTCAGTGTTCGCACAGTTCAGGACCGGGAGTCAATTTATTTTCTATATTCTGGCGTGCTTGAAAACAAAACAAAAAATGAAGCAGGTGAAGGTGCTGAAGGCGTGACGCTCCTGCCCCGTCGGTCTGAAACGGCGCGACCTAGAAAGCGAGGCAGGCGTGCTTCTTTGTCCCTCTGGTTCTCCGCACTGAAATGGATTTGATGCCACAGAAAGACCAGGGAAACTGTACCCCCAGCCTCATCTTTGCCAGACTGAAGTAGAACTGGGACCATCCCAGTCATTTGACAGAGATGTTTTTCCCGGTGGCCTTCTCTCTGAATTATTTCTGGTTCCATTATAAGGACTTTTTGAACTAAGAAAGTCCCTGTAACAGAACTGGAAGTGATGGTTCCTGGAAATAAACTAGTACCTGAGTCTGTTTTTTCCTTCTCCCTTCCACCCTCTTTCCTTTTGCCGCACACTTGGATCTCTCCTGTGTGTGTTGTTCTCCTCAGTCAAACTGTGCCAGAGGCCTGGGAGAACTTTGATCAAGTTTGGTTGGCAAGAGCTGCGTCTGCGTACCGAATGGGAGAATTGGCTGCTGGTGGCATCCCTCTTGGTGGAATCTCTAAAGGCATTACAGGAGCGGATGTTGGCAATAACATTAGTTTATTTCTGGGGTGGTTCAGGGGCACAGTCCTTCTGCATAAAGAACTGCCCCATTTCTCATTCAAACCCAGCAAAAGGGCCAATGAGACAATATGCCAGAAAACCAGTGTCTTGGAAACAAGCAAAGAAAATTCAGGTTATGTTTTGTTTGTGTGTACTTTTGAATCACTTAGACCAATTCCCCGATACCTGTTGTCAGTCGCAGTAAAATCTCTGTTCATCAATGGGTCATAGGTTCTGTTTGCCGCTAGGCTATGACAAATATGTGGATTTCTTGCTAAGTCCACATTCAGCTCCTTCACACACCAGGGTCACGTACCTGTACAGAACATGTTGTTCAAGGTCTGAACCAATGTAAAATTCCTGCAGCTGGTGACCTAGGAGAAATAAACTAAAATGAATTTCCACAGAAGCTCCCTGCGTTCCTCCCTCTTAGCCCAACCTTCCTTACAGGGCTGTGGAGAAAGTAGCAGGCAACACAAGGGACACCACTTTGAACTTCTGAGAAGCAGGATATAAATTTAATAAAGAAATAGTTCCAATTTTAACATTTGGCTGTGTCGTGGGGACCACTATCTGATCTGGTTATTTTTTGTAAAACCGCCCCCCCCCCAAGTTTAGGAACTTTAGAAGAACCTGAAGGTCAAAAGACGCATCTGGTCTAGTCTGCTGTTTTCAGACAGGCACCCGCCAATTAAGTAACCTGGAAATTTCAGAAGTAGGATGTGAGCACGTCAACCCCATCCTACTCATGTTTCCCAACAAGTAACATTTGTTTTTATAGCCTCCTCTTCTTCCCTGAATTGGTCCAATCTACTGTACTATTTTAAGTCATCCAAGTTCAAGGCCACCACCTCAGTAGTAGTGCACATTAATTATGGACTGGGTAGCACCCTAAATCGCCCATTATTTAGCTCCACTTGGACCGGAGAAAGCTATTCACTTTCTCCATGCACACCTATTTTGTTCTGCTCTCAATTTATTCTTTACTTCTCTGAATTTAGAGACCACAAACTTCCCAGCCTTTCTTATAGCACCTTTTCTGTACTTTTTCCAGCTCTACAATATCCATTTGAGGTGCAGTGAGAAGGGCTGTGTTCTCCACCAGCTTTTCTGATCAGTGCCTGCTAACAGAGTATATGCAAATTTGGACTTTTTTTGCCACAAATGTGCATCTTTTGTGATTACTGAGAGTTTTTTCAATAATAAATACTTAGTTTCTCTGCACTTCAATCACAGAAAACAATGAAACTCAATTTCCAAAATTTTCCCCTCACCCCTTCTAGCCATTGATGTATACTTGTATCTGGCTGCAATAAAAACATCTAAACCTATCTGGTCAAAGCCTTTCTCTTGAATCAGTGGTAGGTTCACCATTATTCACCTCACCTCTGATTAATATCGTTTATGAGTAAATCAGCCTTTTGCTTCCCAGGCAGAAACTCTACCTAAATGAAATGTAAAATTACTGTAAGTGCTTACTGACCACTTAATCTGCATTTAGGGGCAAAACTGGATGGTAAATGGACCACAGGTGGAATTCACAATTATAGTATTTTGTATTAGTGACGTAAGGGCACCATGCATGATTTCAGGCACACAGGAGCTCTATTAGGCAAAATCCTAAAGAAGGAGTGCTTCTAGAAACACTTTCAACCTTTCGTCTATCAGGACTTTTCACTTTTTTTACTGAACTAGACAACCCATGATTGGCTGGGTCATTGATTCAGAAATATTTCCTAACCTAAACAGAGAAACAGAATGACCACGGGCAGATTGCTATTGGTTTGGTTTGAAAATTAAAGAAGAAAACATCAGTTTATTAAAAAAGAAAGATGCATAGCAAGAGAAATATAGATGCTTTTTGTTTAACAAAGGACACTTTCGATGACAACATTTCTGGTTGATCTGCCATCCTTGAAGAATACTCTAACATTTTTACTTCTTTTTCAGGTTATAACGACATGCAACTGACCGTGCTGGAATACTGGTTTCTCCAGCTGAATCAGCATATTCTCCACGATTTGTGCTTTATGCCATTAGGAACTGAAGAGGGGCATCTTCACCTTCTGAAAAATTGAGTGTAACTCCTGGAATCATGACGATATCATTTTTTGAATGGACAAATGTTTATCTTTGCTACAATGAGATTCTTGTGAAGTTCTTCCACGATCATCCGCATTCCACTGCATGCCTTGGAAGATTAAAGCCTTGATGGATTTGCCCTTGAATAATCACAGGATTCCACCCATTCCTTGTTGGAAGGACTCCTTTGGCACCAAAGGATGTCATTTGGAAGAGGGAGTTGTACGGTCTGATGTTCTTCCTGAACTTGTTTGCAATAGGTTCATCATTGCTTTATAAATTGAGTTCATTATCGGATGGGCCAGTGGCAAATCATCGATGTACGGTACTTTAAGCAGCTTGCATTTAGCGTGCCTTAATGCAGAGGTTGCAAATTATCTATCCTGACCTTTCCCTTCATACAGCAGAAATTGGCGGTTTCTCTAGGGAACAGGAACAGGAAAGCATGACAGGACGGCAGACTTTGGCCATCACACCAACATCAGCAGAAATATTATGCCGTGCCCTTTCATCCTCCATTTGTTCATAACTTTTGCTATTTGTTGTCTCTGATCTTGGAGACATGCATTTCTCTTCTGTGCCTCTTGTCATTTTGGAGACGTGCCTCTCTCTTCTTTCTCATGACTCTTGGTCCTGACTCTTTGATCCTGGGGTTGTGCGGCCCTGGCTTCACCCGTTTCTTGTTCTCCCTTCTTCCTTGCCGCTTCCTGACAATGTTTGGTGTAATCTGTTGACCACGATGTCCCCCTCTTTCCACATGGTACAATTAAGCTGAAAATATCTTTTTAAATTTTTATTTGTATTTTTCTTATTTTTACTTTTTAAATTTTTTTACCACAATGCTGTACAGTGTGGTCATCACTTCAGAAGAGTTCAGACTTCCTGCCAGCTTCCCTATTGACTTGTGGGAAGCAGGCCGGGAGCATCAGAAAGGACAATCACATAACTGTGATTGACCACGGCAGTGCGGTGGTGCTGAAGCGGCCACAACTTTGCCAAATTTCAATCCCCCGGGAATCATGGATTTTGGGCGCATTTTTTAAGTGAGCCCATTTCAGGCACCTGGCTTCAAAAATGGTTGCCCCAGGATGCACCGTTTCGGCCTGCAAGAATCAGCCCCGGGAGAGGAAGCAGGTTCATTCTTTGGGCTGGAAAGAAGTGGGGAGGAAGGGGCTGGCATTTCCATGCAGTCTGGCTGGAATGAGTGTGCCTTTCCTGGAGTTCTTGCTTAAAGAGCAATTCATGATTTTGATTTCTTTGGCTGATGTCCAGCAGTCTTTTGATGAGTAACTTGAAAAAAAAAATTAAGTTCATGTCTATAGAGTCATTCCTAATTTCAAATGTACCCAGAATTAGCCTGCAATTCATTGGACTGCCTTTTTGTTCAAACTGGCAGGATGTTTCCCAATATTTTGATACTCTGGCTGATCTTAGTAATGTGTTACATATTTTTTTAGAAGCAATTTCACATTTAGAACTCCCAGGTCATCTGGAGCATTCTGCTGGTTTGTGGTCAGTAAATTGTATCATATTTTCATTTCTTGAGTCAGCTCCTTGGGCAATCTTCTGCCTGACATCAGCTGCAGTGAAGAGAGATGCAAAGAAAACAGAGAATGAATACAATAATTTAAATTAATAATAAAATGGATTGAAAAAGAAATAAAATATTAGACCCCAAAGCAGGGAGGGAGAAATACACTTTTTGATCCATTCTTAAAGAGTAAAAGTGTGGGGACCAGCAGATCTCAGGGGTGGGGAGAACTGGGGTAGCTACAGAAAAGGCCTGCTTCCATGTTACCACCCCACTCTTGAGGGACAGGAATCCTAAAGTCTTTTTTGTATGCTACAAAAAAGTGTCTCATCTGCTAGGATGAAAACTGCTGCTTTCTGTGCAAACTGAATTTTTCAAGTAGTCTTAAGTCTGACTGAAAGGTATCAAGATAATCCATTTTGTCCAGGATTCTCTGTAACCGATACCTCACAAGCTTCTTGGGGAAGACTGGATGGAAGTTGTTTAAAATGGGCAGGTTGAGAAATGACTACTTCAGGAGGGAGCGCACCGCCATCTCTTTCAAGGGAGGGGGTACAGCCCCCTCTCTCATTAGCCACCTGTTGCATCCACCACACATGTGCCCCCAGGCCACCCAAAAGAGCCAGGTAGAGCATGGATCCAGCCACAGGGTTGTGGTGGTCAGACTATATAGAGAACCTTGTTTACTTCTGCAGAGCCCACAAGTCAAGTGAGTCTCAGAAGTCCTCACAAAGACGTTGTTCAAATCGCTTCTGCTGCCTATGTAAACATTTAGACATGTAAAGTGCAAATGTGAAAACACTGGTTGGCAAAAGGATTTGCAAAAATGTCACAGTGGCCAGCCAGGTCTCTAGACACCACAGGGAGGCGTCACCTTGAACAAGGTTTGAATAAGGTTGCTTGATTACCTTCCACCGCCATAGCAAGAACAGAGCGGTACTGATGTTCCACGGCTCTTAAGTCCAAACAATGTAGGCCCAAATTTGGGCTCGTACCTGTGACTGGTCATTCTTTGTCTTCTGCCATCCACACTCCAGGCATCGCTTCTGCCAGTGCACCTCTGAACCTCCTCCAAAAGTCAAGAGTTGTGAGGCTGCTTGGGAGCAATCTTGAAAAATCCCAAACACTTGCAAAAAAACCAGAGGACCCATAAGGCATCTTGGGTGGACCAATTTAATTGCCACACACCAAAAGCTGACTAGAAAATTATATGATCATGACAAAAGACTCATATAAATGTCCTCCACTTTCAGATAATAAACCATCTGCTCTGAGATAAAAACTAAATCTAGCACATGCCCCCTAGGAATATGTAGGCCTTTTATCTCTCAGTTTTCTCCTTCTGATCTATTTTAAGGTCTTCTTTAATATTTGTCAGATAGAGATATGAGTTTCAGATTCCTTTTCCACATCCCTTATTAACAACTTGCATTTCTTTACCACAAGTTGGGGCCCTTTTTATTCTCTTCATTTCAGCAAGACTTTAATTTTGTTCGGTTTTCTTAAATGAAGCCTCTTTTCCTTGACATGGAAATTGGATACTAGCCGGAATACATTCCAGCTAAGCCCTTACAATTAACATCATTTATAAGTAGTCTTTAATAAAGAGGTGTTTTATGAAAATAAAATTACCACAACAAAACACTGTAACAGAAAATATCTAACATTTAATACTTGGTATCATACACTATTGCCTGGGAATGCCCATCTGAATAAATGCAATTTTACCAGCACTTGCACAAAGGGCACCATGGGGAAGAACTTGCTTCGCATCATCGTCATCATCATCATTGGATCTAGCTATGCCAAATATAAAGGAGGAATAACTTCCTCCTTTAATCTGGGCTGACCTTTATGGAATGAGACTAGATGGCCAACAGCCCAGTCCTGGTAGTTTGTGATTTACTGATATTTATCAAATTTGTAAGGCTGCCCATCTATCCAACTAAACTCCAGGTGGCGAATGTGCTACACACAACATCAGCAATAACACAAACAACCCCCCCCACTCAAAACACAAAACACCTACACCGGACCTCCATGCCAGAGCGCCCAAGCAGCCAGCCTGGCCCCCGTGCCTGGTCCTGGAGGATACCCCAGAACTTACTGGTTCCAGATTTCCCCCGCGACCAGGGCCTGCCCTTTAATGCACTACAGAGAGAGCGGGACCTTCTCTGTCCACCTTCCCCAGTGTCCTTTCAGCGGCAGGTTGCATGACCTTGCACTGCGCCCACAGTATTTAAGGGGTATTTTGGTATCTCATAATTGAATCACCTTCATTGAAATAGAGCATGTGCATGATCTCTGTTGTCTAGCCCTTTTCTCCTCGCTTTCCCTTTGGACAACCATTCCCATCACCTCCCATTCCAGTCACCCCATCATCCACATTCTCTTCCCTTAAGGCCCAATTCCTAGATGAAAATGCTGGAGGGTAGTTTGGAGGAAGTCAGCTTCCCATACATTCTGGTTTTACCCGTGCAAGATTAGATAAAATAAACTCAGGAAGATCTCTTTAATCCCATCACTGGTCCCTTGACAAGCATCTCTGAGTTTTGCTTGAAATAGATTAGGAGGCCTGGAATGCGCACCACCGCATGAGAAGAAAAGGAGAAAGCAGAGGGTGCCAAAGAAAGTGGATGAGCAAAACCGAGGAAGATGGCATGACTCCACTGCATGACTACATAAATAAAACATGAGCATGCCTTAATTGCAAAAGAGCCATCCATCCATCCATCCATCCAGGCAGTACATTTATTGCTTTGCTGTTTAAAAGCAACTTGCAGTTTTGAAAAGGTTTGTCACCAATATGAAAATGCTCAAGGAGGTTCCCAGTTCTCGGGGCACCCATGTCGCTTGGGGGCTCCTTCTTCCGAGGGGCAAGAGGCGACTGGCCCAACTCACCCAACTGGCTCCGTGCCAAGGCAGGACTCCAACTTGCTTTCTAGGATGAGACTTTTCCTCCTGCCCCAAACTGGCTCCACACGCACCTGGATTCACTAGTCGCTGATACCTGCAGCCCATATTTTGTAAGCATTTAAATTTCTTTCTTTCCTTGGAATTTGATATTGCAGTGAAAGAAATTTTTTTTTTAAAAAAAGAGAAAACCGAAAGCATTATTCAAAAAGCATTTAGATTCTCCCATTCTTGCCTTCTCTGAACTTACTTGAACTCCATCGTTATTCATTTAAAAACGGACTTTTGCACAAAGTGAACACCGATCAGGCTGCAGCCAGGCTCCGGCGACCCGGGCAAGGGTGCCCGCCCGCCCGCCGGGAAGTCCGGGCGAGAAGGGACGCCGGGGTGCTTT